ATCTGCCTCCTCCGAAATGACTTCGTCAGAGGTGACGGTCGAACTCGTGCAGGACGAATCACTCCTCTCGCGTCCCCTCCAACAATCATTCATTCTCCCATTTTTCTGGGCCAACGTCGTGAACATTGTCGTGGGTGTCGTGTTCATGGTTGTTGTCGTATTCATGCGTGCAGGGTTGGCTGTGGTGGTGGCGGATCCGCGGGCATCCACTGTTCCTTGGAGCGTCGTAGGTGTGGTTGAGTGCAGCATGCGTGCATGAGCCCAGTACACCTCTTGAGGAAGGTTATAGTCGATAGCGTGGTCATTAGTATCGTCGCTGGATATAGGGACCTCTTCTCGCTGGACGCGTCCCAAAGAGGTATCGGCCCCGTGCGTGATTGTGTAAGAACAGGATCCCTCGTACAACTCTTCTTTGTCTGCTTTGGCGCCCAACCTGATTGTCGGGCTCGTCGATCTCATGCGATTTCCTCCCCTCTTAAAAACGAAAAATCGTGCAAGAAGGACAGAGAGGAAGGGGAGAAAGAGGGGAGAGAAGAGAAGGGGGCTCAGAGGAAGCGGGTGCGGAGAGAGCGAGTTGATATATCGCGCACAAAGCAACCCAAAAACGAGGAGACCCTTCAGAGACCCTTTTGACTAGGCATTCGGGTTGACCAGAACGGCGTGTCGAGTGGAATGTGGTGGCTTGGACGACTGAACCCGATTTTCCAAAACATGCGGCCATGGGATCTTCTAGCGTCCCAAAAGGTTGGAGCTCTGTTGCACAAATCCTCCACTTCCATCTTCCACCTAAAACTTACTCTTACGTAACTCGTTTCGTCACCGTTGTTCTTTTTTTTCTTCAGTTTTCCTCGTTTTCTGACGCCTTTTTCTCTAGCCAAATCTTTTCTTGTGCGACGCGGTGGGAGATGCAAACTTCCGGTGGACGTGACACGGGAGGGCCACTCGACAGGCCGATATTCTTATGTCTGTCAACGGGAAGGGTCGAAATTGCGAAAGAGGTATGGCAAGAATCCTCCATTTTCAAAACGAGGTCGACCTCATCCGATGAGCGAAATTCAGTCCCTTGGCTAGAAAAGGCATCTACGGAACCACTGGGTCGGGCGACACCATTTTATATGATTACAAACAGGATCTGATCTCCAGGTTCTAGTTTTGTGTTCGTTTCAGTTCGGCAAGTGAAGGTGCCGCCTGAACTCGGATCGGATTCCTTATGGAGGTGTACAAACCCCTCTTATGTTTTAAACATCGACCCTGGCGTGGCACAAGCTCCTATGATCTCATTACGTCATCTCTTTATGCACAAATTGATATGCAGCCGGCGAGATTGGTCAGATATCTCTTGCTCCTCGCCATACGTTAACCATCAACTGACCGAAATGTATACAGCATTTACCAGCAAGCAAAATACTAGAGACGAGTTGTAGCCAATTTTTCTCGATGGACGGGTTGCCTACACATTTGCCAAAGTTTTTGTTGGTCTTTTCAACGTGTTATGTTGCAGCCGTCTACATGACAGGAGACTAGGATGTCATGGATGCTCATGGATAAGGTACAGATAGAAAGAGAACTGCCAAATCAACCTCTAGAGATGGCAAGTCTGCTATGGGCCGGTCGACTGTACATACACGAGCTGACTTTTAGCTTTGCAGCTCTGTCGGAGTTCATGAGTTGATAATAGGACAGTACTTGGTGGGGACGCGAGAGGAGTGATTCGTCCTGCACGAGTTCGACCGTCACCTCTGACGAAGTCATTTCGGAGGAGGCAGAT